CAGTAAGAGCTTTTCAAAGCTTCCTGCTTGAGCGGTGATGGCACAATTGTCAGCATAGATAGAACTTTCTCTTCCTTCTGGCAGTGGCTGGTCATTGGTGTAAATGTTAAACATGGATGGAGCAAGCCGGTTTCCCCTGTAATAGGCAGTAAGCGCACCTAAAGCTTCGGAGAGCTTCTTTTCTGCCATTTCAAAGCTCCCTGCTTGAGTGGTGATGGCATGATCATCAGCATAGATGAATCTCTCTGTCCCATCTGGCAGTGGCTGTTTGTGTAAATGTTGAACATTGATGGAGCAAGCTGGTTTTCCCTGTTAAAGGCAGTAAGAGCACCTAAAGCTTTGGAGAGCTTCTATTCAACCATTTCAAAGCTCCTTGCTTGGGTGGCGATGGCATGATCGTCAGCGTAGATAGATTAGGAATCAGCTGGTTTCCCCTGTAAGAGGCAGTAAGAGCACCTAAAGCTTCAGAGAGCTTCTTTTCAGCCATTTCAAAGATCACTGCTTGAGCGGTGATGGCATGATCGTCAGCGTAGATGGATGAGGAATCAGCTGGTTTTCCCTGTAAGAGGCAGTAAGAGCACCTAAAGCTTCGGAGAGCTTCTATTCGGCCATTTCAAAGCTCCCTGCTTGGGTGGTGATGGCATGATCGTCAGCGTAGATGGGTTAGGAATCAGCTTGTTTCCCCTGTAAGAGGAAGTAAGCTCCGTGATATATGTGGACTGTATATCCTCATCTTTTTCCATCTTGAAAACCAACTTATTTGGGCCTTTTTGCAGAAGCACTCCTCCTTTTCTCTGTGCGAAACATTTCCCGGAATCCGCTGCCTTTTGCTCCTGGTCCTGCCCATTCCTTTTGGCCAGGAAGGAATCGCATTCCGAGCTGCTTCTCGAGAGCCCGGCCTCGCAATTGGGGAAAGGCTCCTTCTGCTTGGAAAGGAAAAACGTGGCTGCGAGTGCCAAGTTTCCCGGTCAAGGAGGGCAGCTAAATATAGCGTATTTTCTCCTCGATGCCGCCCGACTGTTTAGTATCATGCAGTGCGCGCTCTCAACCTTGGTATTATACTAAACTAGCTGTACCTGCCATGCTCAACCTTCCCTCTCTCTTTCCCTCCTTCCTTTGCTCCCTCGTTCCTTTCTTCCTTCCATTTTCTTCTTTCCTTCTCTCCTTTTTTCCTTCCTCCCTCTTTTCTTTTCGTTCCTCTTTCTCTCCTCCTCTACCCCTTTCCTTCCCTCCTTTGCTTTCATCCTTCCTTCTCTTTCCTTCTTCCCTCCCTTTCCTTCCTTCCCTCTTTTTTTCCTTCTCTCCTTTCTTCCTTCTCTACCTCTTGCGTTCCTTCCTTTGCTTTTTGCTTCCATCCTTCCTTCTCTCTTTCCTTTTTTTCTTCCCTCCCTCTTTCCTTCCTTCCCTCTTTTCTTTCCTTCTCTCCTTCATTTTTTCCCTACCTCTTTCCTTCCCTCTCTTCTTTTCCTTCTTCCTTCCTTCCTTCGCTACCTCTTTCCTTCCTTCCTTCTTTTTTCCTTCTCTCCTTTCTTCCTTTTCTACCTCTTGTGTTCCTTCCTTTGCTTTTTGCTTCCATCTTCCTTCTCTCTTTTCTTCTTTCTTCCCTCCCTCTTTCTTCCTTCCTTCCTTTCTTCTCTCTTTTCTTCCTTCTCTCCCCTTCCCTTCTTCACTTTCTGCTTCCATCCTTCCTTCTCTTTCCTTCCCTCCCTCTTTCTTTTTTCCTTCTCTACCTCTTGCGTTCCTTCCTTTGCTTTTTGCTTCCATCCTTCCTTCTCTCTTTCCGTCTTTCCTTCCCCTCCCTTTCTCTTTCCTTCACTTTTTTCTTTCCTTCACTCTTTTTTCCTTCTCTCCTTCCTTCCTTCCCCATTTTCTTTTCCTTCCTTTTTCTCTCCTTTCTTCCTTCTCTACCCCTTTCTTTCCCTCCTTCGCTTTTTGCTTCCATCCTTCCTTCTCTCTTTCCTTCTTCCCTCCCTCTTCCCTTCCTTGCTCCCTCTTTCCTTCCTTCCCTCTTCCTTCTCCTTTCTTCCTCTCTACCTCTTCCCTCCTTTGCTTTCATCCTTCCTTCTCTTTCCTTCTTCCCTCCCTTTCCTTCCTTCCCTCTTTTTTTCCTTCTCTCCTTTCTTCCTTCTCTACCTCTTGCGTTCCTTCCTTTGCTTTTTGCTTCCATCCATCCTTCTCTCTTTTCTTTTCTTCCCTCCCTCTTCCCTTCCTTCGCTTCCTCTTTCCTTCCTTCCCTCTTTTCTTTCCTTCTCTCCTTTCCTTCTCTACCCCTTTCCTTCCCTCCTTTGCTTTTTGCTTGCATCCTTCTTTCTCTCTCTCCTTCCCTCCCTCTTTCTCTCTTTTCTTCCTTCTCTACCTCTTGCATTCCTTCCTTTGCTTTTTGCTTCCATCCTCCCTTGTCTCTTTCCTTCTTTTCTTCCCTCCCTCTTTTCTTCCTTCGCTTCCTCTTTCCTTCCTTCCCTCTTTTCTTTCCTTCTCTCCTTCCTTTCTTCCCCACCTCTTTCCTTCCTTCCCCTTTTTCTTTTCCTTCCTCTTTCTCTCCTTTCTTCCTTCTCTACCCCTTTCCTTCCCTCCTTCGCTTTTTGCTTCCATCCTTTCTCTCTTTCCTTTCCTCCCTCTTTCTCTCTTTTTTCCTTCTCTGCCTCTTGCGTTCCTTCCTTTTTTTTTGCTTCCATCCTTCCTTCTCTCTTTCCGTCTTTCCTTCCCCTCCCTCTTTCTTTCCTTCCCTCTTTTTTCCCTTCTCTCCTTTCTTCCTTCTCTACCCCTTCCTTCTCTCTTTTGTTCCCTCCCTCTTTTCTTCCTTCATTCCCTCTTTTCTTCGTTCCCTCTTTCTTTCCTTCCCTCCTTCCTTTCTTCCCTACATTGGGTTGTTAGGTGTCTTGTGTCCAAATTTTGTGTCAATTCGTCCAGTAGTCTTTGAGTTCTGTTAATCCCACAAACTAACATTACATTTTTATTTATATAGATTTTAGTTTTACACATTATTTTAAGTCTTTACAAACTTGAGATAAAGTTAAGGAAAAGAAGGAAAGGCTCTTCAAGGCTCGAGGGAGGACTGAGGAGGTAAAGTGCCTCGGAGAGCGGCGAAACAAACCCGCAAAACTGCAAAAATACAGCGATTTATATTTTAAATTTTTAAAAAATTGAAAACAGTGAGTCTGCGAAAAGCGAACCGCGAAGTAGCGAGGGAACACTGTACAGTCCTCCCTTATTGCGAGGGTTACATTCCAGGATCTCCCGCAATAAGTGAAAAACCGCGATGTAGGGACACTATATTTATTTTAATATTTATACATTATTTTAGTAGTTTTACGCATTATTTTAAGTCTTTACAAACTTGAAATAAAGTGAAGGAAAGGAAGGAAAGGCTCTTCAAGGCTGGAGGGAGGACTGAGGAGGGAAAGCGCCTCGGAGAGCAGTGGCAAAAAACCGCGAAACAGCGAAAATACTGCGATTTATATTTTGAAAAACCGCGAAACAGCGGGTCCGCGAAAAGCGAACCGCAAAGTAGTGAGGGAGCCCTGTACTTCTCTGTGACCAGCTCTACTGGATCCCATCTCCCCTCTTTTTCGCTGTTCACCACTAACAGGAAATTCTGCATATCACAGATAAGAATCTGCTTGACCCCGGCTAGCAAGAAATCAGGATGTTCGGCTTGGGAGAGAGAAATGTCAGCTTAGCAGTTTTCTTGTACTTTACCCCACCGCCAGATTATGCCGGCTCGGCTGTTTAGCGGTTTCAATGAATTTGTTTTGCAGCATAAAACTGAGAGTAGTTTATTTGTTTATCTATCAGGTCAGAGGCGAATTGAGAATACAGTTATAATGCGTTCAGAAACCACACACAAAGTGAAAAGTTTGGCATGGTACTAAATGTCCAGAAGCTGCCCACTTGGAGTGCCTTTGGTGTCACTGTAAGAAGACAATGAAGAAAACACTGAGCAGCATTCCGTGGAAACAGATACTAAAAGACAAGGAGTTATGGATGGATGGGAATTTCTCAAGAGTGAAATACTCAAGGCGCAATTGCAAACTGTGCCAACAAAGAGAAAAAATAGGACAAGTGCAAAGAAGCCAGAATGGATGTCCAAAGAACTTCTAACTGTGCTAAAACACAAAAGAGACATGCACAAGAAGTGGAAAAAGGGAGAAATCACCAAAGAAGAATTCAAACAAATA